TAAATACTGGGCCCGATCTTGATTTTTTCTAGTAAGTATTTCCCTTTGCTTAGCGACCAAAACATATTTTATGAATGAACAAACAAAATGTCATAAATGAAACCCTTCATTTTACAGTAGCTGTTTGCATCCAGTTTATGACATTACACACCTATTACCAGGTGCATAGTATTTTCTGTTTGGATAAGTCTGAGGTGTAGAATTCATGATTCCTGGTCTTCATGGGTTAGAAGCAGACCTTGTTGAGAGTTGGGTTAGTTCACAGGCACTCTGTCAGAAGGGAGTTTTCTAGCATCTTGGTAACTTTTCTGTGGGGGGGGTGACGGTGGGAGTTCTGACACTAACTTGAGGGGAAAAGTTAATACCCTTTCACTGTCCTTTGCCAATCTGCATGACATCGACAAGTTGGGAGGGATAACATCATCTCATCATCTCTCCAGGCATGGGCGAGAGCAGAGCTGCTCCTGCTTATTTGTTTCTTCTTGTGCTGACCTGGTCTGTGAGACCACTTGTTCCTCTCAGCTGGGCATAGGCTCTCTCAAGACATATTCTATCTTCCTTTCATGTGGGGAACTCTGTGGCTCCCCATTGAATATTCTGTACTGTGCATGGCCTACAAAGCCCTTCTCAGTCTGGCCCAGCTGTTTGCCAGTCTCACTTGCTGCTATTCCCTGCTATCACTTGAATGCAGCCATACTAGATGCCTTGCTGTCTGGGGAACATAACCAAGTATCTTGTACTTTGCTAGTTTGCATGCCATTGTCCACAGAAGCCTGACTGTTGACTATCCACCAAACACGTACCCCTCCACTTTAGCTACATCTATCAATTGCTAAGGACCTGGTTAGTTCTTCCCTCCAAACCCCAGGCAGCAATAGAAACTCCTTTCTGTGAGCTTGTATGTATTTTTCACATAGATAGATAGCATCTTCACACTGTTGTTGGTTATATTAACCATCCCAATGGATTATGAATCTCAAAACTCTTACCTTCTGTATTTATTTGGAACTATTGGAGGTGATGGTAGAGGGAACACAGGTTTTAGAATCAAAAGATTTGGGTTGAAGTCTCAACTGTTACTCACTAGGTCTGTGATGTTGGGTGTCAACATTCTTGCTGCTTAGCCTGGCAGCTTTTCTTTGTCTCTGTTATTGAGGGTAGCTATAGAAAGTGCCTAGTACCATGTCTGGGGTATTATAGATTATGAACATACTTGTGGAAAAGAAGTGAATGTTTACTTTGATATGAGAGATTTTCCTTTTGAAACTTATCAATCCATGGTATCTTCCCCCCATTATTCTACAATTTCCTTGTAATCTCCAGAGCCAGATTCAGTTCTGAGTTCCCTGAGACTCTAGCTCAGTAATGCCTTTTTCTTTGACCTTTTGTAACATTAGTTCCCTGCATGACAATAAAGACCCTAAAAAGTTATTTCTTGGGATCAGCAAATGGTGTAATTGTTGCGTTGCTGGATTCCCATGTAGTTGGCTCTGGTTCCAATTCCAGACCTGGTGTCTTAAAACTCATACTTGGTGTGTGTGTGTGTGTGTGTGTGTGTGTGTGTAAGATCCCAAGAGGAGAATGGAGGGGAAAGGATTGTGGTATGGCCATCCTCCCTGGGGAGTGATTTTTCACTTTTTGACTCTGTCTCTGTCCAGCAAGTACATGCGCCCTATAACAAAAATCTCTCTCTGAAAAAAAAGTTAGTGCTTATACTTACTAATATTTACATAATATTTACGTATCCCACCTTCTCATCTGGATTGAAAGTGTCGTAGGAACTAGATCTTTTTATACCATAACATCCCTTCTGTTCTATCAGGATGGTTTGTAAGCTAGACTATTAGCTGTTGTCTTTGACTAACTTAAATTTTTCTTACAGTGGGTTTTGTCTCTACAGTTACGTACTGGTGGTGTTAGAACCATTACAGGAGCTGGTACATACAGGGACCTCTCTTGCTCATCCCTACATCCTTCTCTGCACTATCCTCTGTAAATTCTTCTGGTGTTTAGCTAGTAAGAGAAGAAATGCTGCTGAATACCAATGAAGCCCTGCTACACATATATAGCAAAATGATAGAAATCCCTCAAGGACACAACTTATAGAATAAACATGCTCTCTGTAATGTGCGTTGCTTTTTCTTTATGGGCATGTGTGTATGTGTGTTTGTGTGTTTGTTTTGCTTGTGAGAGTGATCAAACCATGTTAAATGAAACATCAGAGAAAAGTATAAGCACTACTATACATCTAAATCCAGGCGCCGTAGTCCTGGTTTGTGCTGTTACTGAATGGAATTTGTCTGAATTTTTCACTCTTTGTCAGGCTGAGCTGCAGAAGCTGAGACAACAAGCCCTGGAGACAAAGCACTTCATTGAAAAGCAAGAAGCTGAAGAGAGAAAACTCCTGCGTATTATTGCTGAAGCTGATGGGGAGAGGTTGAGACAGAAGAAGGAATTAGACCAGGTAGAACTCCTCCTCATCAGATTTGCAGACCTGGCCAACAGACAAGAGTGTTTGATTTTACTGTTCATGAATCCTCATTCCCCTTTAAGCCCTGAGGTCCAACCCTGTTGGAATAATTGCAGCAGAAGCCCATCTTATGTTGATTACTTACGGAATCTTTACTTATTTCTTTGACCCATATTTATGAACACTCCCTCTGTGTCAGTCACTTCTGTAAGCACTAGAGACACATTGGCTGACAAGATAATAAGGTGCCTGTTCAAAGGGAGCTTACATTCCAGTGTAACATAACTGTTCCCATACACAGTCATATGCCACATAATGATGTTTTGGTCAACAATAGACCACATATACAATGGTGATCCCGTAAGCTTATGATAGGCTACACCATAATGCCTAAATGTGTAGTAGGCTATCTCATTCAGGGATGTATAGCTGCACTCTGTGATATTACATAATGATGAAATTGACTAATGACGCATTCTCAGAATGGATCTCCATTGTTAAACAATGCATGACTATAGTTGCAATTAATAATTACATGATGTAGGAGACAGAAACTCAAATGCATGACTTGAGAGTTAGAAACTTGAATGCTTTCAGAGAGCTGGCTGAGAGAAGCTGGCCTCTTTACAAGAAAGGAAGAGGTGGCTGGACTTGGCACGAGTTAACCCACCATGATGTCTTTTAAATGTAAACATTTAACAAACAATGGGTTGGAAAACACACACAATTACACATGCATGGACCCACAATTACTGGATTGTTGGACCATTATTATTATTATGGGTTATTTGTTGTACAGTGGTTTCTCTTCTCAAGGAGATTGCAAACTTAACAGGAGTCCAGTGTTGTGTTTTTTTTTTTTTTTCTTTTTTTCCTCTATTTTACCTTCATTGCCAGAAAAGCTGATATTTTAATTTCTCTTTGACTTCCATGTCTTATTTCTTGACTTGTTCCAAAGTGAAGGGGAGAATGAAGGAGTTACCTGGTGTTGTCCTTAAACCCCACATGCATCACGATGTCACAAAAGCTGTAATCGTACATATCTACGATTTTTATGTTCTGAACTAACATTACATTCTTTTTTCAAGTCAATGAACAATTATATTTAATGTATTGTACAAAATACTTTTTTTTTTTTGAGAGGTTTTTTTTTTTTTTTTTTTTTTTCACTATAGGGCGCGTGCGCTCGCCAGACAGACAGAGAGAGACATAGAGACAGAAAGCGAGAAATCACCCCTCAGGGGGGATGGTCACACCGCAATCCCTTCTCCTCCATTCTCCTCCCGGGATCTTGGGCACGCACGCACACGTGCCCAGCGTGAGTTTTAAGCCACCGGGTCCGGGACACGAACCGCGGTCGACTACGTGGGAGTCCAGCGACATAGCCATTACACTAACTGCTGGTTCCCTACAAAGTACTTTTAAAGCACAGAAAGAATAAAACAATATATAAAGGCCCTCTTTCTTTACTGGAATAAAAAAATTAGGAATTCCAACTGTTGAATTGTCTGTTTCTAGGAGGCAGTAACATGGTTCACGTTTCCACTGTTTTGGAAATCTCTCAGTCATGATCTATAGAAGTTGGTCCCAGGCAATTTGAAGATAGATCTTCTTTATCTTCATATGCTGTTCCACACCAAATACAATACAGATGTTCTTCTCTTAAATAACTAGTCAATATTTGTAATTTTTCCAGTACACTTAAACCTTCACTGTTATAGTCATCTTCTCCTGTTCTTTTTCTTCCTCTTCCTCTTCTTCAGTCTCCTCTTTGAGTTTCAACCAGTCCCATGCCTCCCTGGGAACCTGAATATTCTTCTGGGCATCTAACTGCTGACAGGCTCACTGGCTTCTTTTAAGATCTCCTGCTAGCTTCATTTCATCTTGCTTATTTTTAAATCACATTTGAAACTGCTCTGCAGCTTTCTCTTCAGCTTGGTTTTTCATGTGAATCTTTCTTCTGTAGCTTTCTAATTTTGCCTCTGCTTTCCATTTTAATAATGCCTCATGACCAATACCACTTTTCCCTGTTTTGACATTGAGAGGAATTGGTTCAAGAATACCATCTCCTCTCTTGCCGAGAGCCTGACTGCTTTTATATCCCATCTTTTGGAGCAAAGCAAATCCTTTGTTTTCATAGCCAAGTGCATTCTTCAATCCAATGTCATATCTCTCTTGTTCTTCCTCTTTCTAACTCTTCTGCCTATTTTTCAAATTAGCTTCCTGTTGTTTTTCTTCTTTTCGACGGGCTTCTCGGATTTGCCTCAGCATTCTTGGTCTGATATCATCTTGGACATTAATGAAGGAATCAGACACATAATACTCTTCTGCCCTGCTTAATTTCATATGGTGATGGTATCTGGCAGCTCTCAGGTCCTGGTCCAGCTCCGGAGACCCCAGTGTTGATTTTCTAACAGGCCATTCCCAGTGCCCAGCTAAGAGGGTGCCCAGCCCATGTGGACAATTGATAGATACTCATTGACTAAAGGAATGCTGTTGCTATAAAAAAAAATTACACTTTTTGTTCCTTGGTGGCCATACCCTTCCCAACCTTTCCAGGTGATCAGCGAGAGAGATATCCTGGGGTCTCAACTTATTCGGCGCAATGACGAATTAGCTTTGCTCTACGAGAAAATCAAGATCCAACAGTCTGTGCTGAATAAGGGCGAGAGCCAGTACAATCAGAGGGTGGAGGATATGAGAATCCTCAAGCTGGAGATCAAGAAGCTCCGCCGTGAGAAGGGGATTCTTGCCAGGAGTGTGGCCAATGTCGATGAACTCAGGTAATAGGAGGCCCTTAGGGCTTAGGGCAAAGCAGCCTGTGATGAGCTCCTGAAATGACCATATGTTCATGGTGGTTGTCACTGAAGGACTTTATCAAGTTGTACAAAATGAGAATTTGTTTTGTTTTGTTTTTCAGTTTTTACTCTAGGGTACATGTGCTTACCAGAGAGAGACAGAGAGAGAGAGAGAGAAAGTGAGAAATCACCCCCCAACTCCCTAAGGGGGATGACCACAATGGAGCCCCTTCTCCTCCAGTCTCTTCCTGAGATTTGGGCACACGTGCACATGTACCTGGTGTGATTTTCGAGCTGCTGGGTTTGGGACTTGAACCATGGCTAGTCATGTAGAATCCAGTGCCTTAACCTCCATGCCACCTGTTGTCCCCAAAATGAATTTTATGTGATGAAATTATTAGTGAATAATAAGAACAACTTTTCCATGAAAATCCACATCATGCCCATGCTGCGTCACAAAAATGTATGAACTCCCTTTAGGGCGTGTATGGACGAAGGTGAAAAGATTTTTAAAGACCTCTGATCTGGATTTTGAAAAAGAAATTTCAAGTCAAATCACAAACATATTACATTTTAAAATTTCTTTTTCCCCAGTGAGCGCCTTCAAATTTCTTTAATAAGGCAGTATGCAAGAGACAGAGCATCAATATTTAAATTTAATCCTGGTAACATTTGCACATCTTTTTCTTGGAATTGTGTACAGGATGAAAAGAAGTAGAAAATTTAATTTTATCACTATTTGGAAACTCTGTTTCCTTAGAAGGCAGCCAAATTTTACATCTTACTCTTGATTTATCCTCTGCAGCTTTCACTTTAGCTTAGTGCGCCTTCTTCTTTCTCTAAATCTTGCATTACCCAAGATCTGCTTTCCCTTTGGGAAAACATCACCATGTTTTATATAGGCAATTGCAGGAAATCAAGCAGAGGCTTGGTATTTTTTCAGTAGCTCTCCTTATTCCCCACAGACTTAAGGTACAAAAACAGTATCCTTGACCGCTTTGGGATGAAAACACAGTTGAGTTGTGCCTCCCAAATTAATTGGATTAGAAGATAGTTTTGATATTTAGATGCAGTGAATATATTCAAGAACAGTGACGTTGCCACTATCCAGGATGGATTGATACTGATTTGTCTGTTTTTAGAGTTGTTTGTATTTTAGATGATGAAAGTAGTACAAGTTAATTATAGAAAATGTGAGAAATGCAGAAAAAAATAAAGACGGGATTATAATCATTCATAACTTTATTACCCAGAGATACCACCATTGACATCTGGGAGACAAATGGATTCATTCTAAGTAGCTATTGAATGATCTCCAAGACCATCACTAAACCTGTCAGCCATGAATGAGTTATTTTTATTACACACACGAACAACCAAATTCTATCCCCTCCTAGTCAATATTGCTAGTTTGTTGATAATGGATTTTATTTTTCTTTTCAATGGGAAGACAACTCAATAAAAGTTGGAGACAAGCAGGTGTGAATTCCAACCTCTGCCTCGCCATGGACAAGCTATATGACCTTAGGCATGTCACTGAACTTCCCTGAGCATTGGACTTGTAGTTACAATTAAATGTGAAAACGACCGCGATGTGCCTAGCACAGAGTCTAGGACAAAATAAGCCATCTGATACAGTAGCTGGTACTTCCGCCTCCTCTTCTGATGAGACTCTAGAAAATCGAAGTGTTAAAAATATGCTTTTAATTCTAAGCAGCTTGTTCTGAGCTCCCTGTTGAGTGAACATCATGCAGTTAATTCTAATGGTTTGTCTTGCTAATGAGGGGAAGTTGTATTATTGGTTTAAATGAAGCAATTAAGTAAAAGAGATGGCTTAGTATTAGTAATCTGCACACCCGCAGCAGACGAGGACAGATAATAATATCCTTATCGCCGGTGTCAATAAGTGCTTGCCTCTTCTCTGCTTCCCAACAAAGCTTCCCATTTGGTAGGATGGCCGCCAGGTCATAGGATACCAAGGATGGCTGCAGCACATCATCCGTTAACCACAGAGTCTCCAAGATTTTATGGTATATGTGAGCCAGAGCTGGTTCTCTGGGAATTTGGCAGCCCTCTGTGTGGTTGTGGAACACGAGATAAAACGTCATCACAAGTCCTGAGTCAGCATTCCTCAGTCCTGGCTGTAGTTTAGAATTACCGGCAGGACTTTCCAACCTATGAAACCCAGTCCCCATCCTAGACCTATTAAGGCAGATTCTCTCTGAGGGTGGGGTCCAGGCAAAGGGATGTTTTCAAAGCTTGCCGGTGACTCCATAGTGGGAGTGGAGATGTACTGCTGTAAATGGTGTCAAGTTATCACCGGAACCTCGGTGTTTTGCAATCAGGTGCCATTGTGCGGCGCATGCACCATTCACTTATGCTACTATCGAACTGTGGAAACACAGAAGAGTACATCGAAACTCTCCTAATTCACCTCCTCAGCTACTCTCTACTGGCAGTTCTAGAGCCCTGCAAGAATTGATACCATCTGTATCTTGCTCAGATTTAAGAGGCTGGTCTCAGTGTTCACAAGTCTCTCTAATTCCAATCTTTTCTAGAAAAGGTAGAGTGTATATAAACATTCAAAGATATGACATCCAAATAAATAGAGAAATTCTTTGCCAAAGAATGTTTTTCTGCGTTCAGGCAGGAGCTTTTTCACATGCAAAGAGAATTCTTGAAGGAGCGAACAAGGTGCCGAGCCCTGGAGGAGGAACTGGAGAACCCCATGAATGTGCACAGATGGCGGAAGCTGGAGGTAACATCTGGCCGAGTGTTCTTCCCATCCCCAAATCTCTCTTCCTGCCCCACCCAGGGCTTCTAACCAAAGCATGATAAGAAACATGGTTTTATTTAATACTATGCAAATTGTCACCTAAATGTAAGGTTGGATCAAATGTCAGTTGGGTCATTCCAGAACCAGATGGTCATTTGGGTTCCGTTTTAAAAGTCTTCGACAAAATCCTTTCTGCCTTAAGAAGACCCAGCTGTGAACAGCTTCGCCAATTGACATTTACTTTTCTTGTTTAGGTAGTTATTCTTTTTTTTTCTTAATTTTTTTTTTCTTATGGGGCATGTATGCTTACCAGAGAGACACACAGAGAGGAGGGGAAAGTGAGAAATCATCACCAGGGTCATGGCCAGTCATAATCCCTTTTCCTCCATTCTCCTCTCAGGATTTTGGGCATGTATGCACATATGCCCGGAAGTCATTAGATCTTGGGCTTGAATAGCAGTTGGTCATGTGAGAGTCCAACCCCTTAACTACCATGGTACCTGCTGGCCCCTATTTAGGTAGTTTTTGATCAGCTACCCTATAGCTGTCTCTAGTCTTAGATTGTTAATTCCCTTTAGCTATATTGGCCAGTAACCTCTACTCCATCTTTCAACAGGTCTTTACATCCTTTTATTTACTACAGGAAATACAATGTTGTGAATTAGCCCTCTTTTCGAAGGATTAGCATTGTGTTAACCAAATCCTTTCTTTTAGGATTTGGGGACATAGTCATAGTCCCATTGGTAGGAGATGGATAATAACTTCATATTTTATTTCACAACTTCCCGATAGACATTACTACCAGCACTGGAAATGACAAAGATGAACTCTTGCTAATTCAAGAAAAAGATGGCCACCTCCTTTAGTTATACCTAGCAATGTGGGTGCCAGAAAGGCCTTCGACTAAACGAACAATTAGAGTGTTAGGTGAGTAGAAGTATGTATTTAGGAAAGAACAGGGCAAAAATAGAAAATCAGCCAAGTAGGTTTTTCTGTTTGTTTTTGTTTTTCATTTTTACATTTCCCTTTGAATGAAGAAAGCATTAAGGATAATGCATTATAAATTGCTAAGTACATATGGGGCCTGAATTTTAACAACATACAGTTCTGCCAAGTGGGCATGTGCCAAATCTGGTCCCAATGTATGGATATCGGCCGGCACAACTTCATATTTCTTAACCAAAGTCAGAGTCAATGGAATACTGCCCCGCCCCCCTTTTTTTTCCTCATTAGACCCTCATTCATTTCTCTTCAAATGCCAAGAACAACACAGTTTACTAACCTCACAATAATACGGTAATGTCTCAGGAAATGGAGATTTTAAGTCCATTTACTGTCTGATTAGTTTCTTCCCTGTTTTCACCCAGATCTTTAAAGTTTCCAGTTCCATGTCAATGTACAGTTAAAATACATTTACAATTTACATTAAAAAATTAGAAAATAGAGACTCTAGGAAACAGTTGAAAATATTTAGCTACAAAATAGTTCACGTGTCAGTATAGTTGAAAGAGAAGCTTTGGAGGCCGGCAGGTAGCGTGGTTAAGGGCGCTGGACTACTACATGGCCGACCGTGGTTTGAGTCTTAGATCTGGCGGCTTGCTTTCTTACTTTTTCTCTTGCTCTGTCCCTCTCTGGTAAAATGAAAATAAATAGATAAATAAAGTTAAAAAAAAAACAATAAAGAAAAAGAAAGTGAAGCTTGAGCTAAGTGTTTAGAGGACAAATGATCAATTTATAGCTGTATGTCCTGTGTGAATTGTACGCAGCCTTTGAAAGCGCATCAGTGCTTCATGGGTTGATTGTTCCATTTTGTGAGCTAAATGTCAATTATTAGCACAAGTCCACACCCTGAAAACCCTCCTCCATTGTAAGCTATAATGAGTCTTCTTGTTGACCATCAACAAAGCAGAAACCTACGGCTGAGTGAATGAGGGAGCCCTGTTTCATTCCTGCAGAAACAGAGGAGGTAGTGGGGAAAGCTTTGAAGCTTAGTAATTAAGAACCACAGGCAAACCTGGGCTTGAATCTAGCACTGACCCTTAGCAGTCTGAGTAAATTACCTGACTTCTCTGAACCTCTGATTGTCTTATCTGCAAGAGAGGAAGACTAATTACCATCTCAGGGCAATCATGCAGCCTAAATAGGGTATTGTGTGAAAAGCACTCAGCATAATATCTGGATGGTAGAAAAGAAATGGACATTATGCGTAGTGGCTGTCATTGTTATTATTATTGCTATTCCCACTGGTGAAATAAACATTAATTTTCCACTTATAGGTTAACTAGAGAAATATAGTTAAGACTTAGGAAAACCGCTAATTGTTTTTTTTTCGGGGGGGAGGTATGTATTTATGACTATCTCATCCATTACCCTTTTTCTTTTGTTTTGTATTTCGTATTTCCTTTGCTCTGCATTGCATTTGAAGGTCTGCAGTAGATTTTTACAAACAATAATCGGGTTATAGGGACCACAGTGTTTTGAAACTTTTATCTCAGCTGCTTGCTGTTCTCCTTGGACAGGCCAGCGATCCCAGTTCCTTTGAGCTGATACAGAAGATCCACACCCTGCAGAAGCGTCTCATCAGCAAGACTGAAGAAGTGGTTGAGAAAGAGCTGCTCCTTCAGGTAGGGTTTTTCATTTTCTTTAGTCACTGAAACAAGCCTGTTTTCTCAGCACCTCCGTCTCCTAGACTCTGTTCTCAGATTAGTCCATCCTTAGGCCACATTGCATGCCCCATATTTAACTGTAGGTGGCAACAGTGACTCACACATAGAGAACAAATGCGGCCTGATTAATTGGTCTTTTATGCTGTGATAACTGGTATTTTAAGAATTCTGGAAAATTAAGTTCAAGGCTAGACTTACTGCAATGGGTAATGTGAGCATTCCCCCCGAACTTCTCTGCAGTTTAATTTGTCAGATTCTCTTAAATACTTTTCTTCATAGCTTCAGATAATGCAAAATGTTGCAATTTTGATTTCGAAAATGAGCTTTCTCATAGAGCACAAATGTCCGCATGAAGAGATGTGTGAGTGCAATGGAAGGAAAGATTTCTTTTTGAGTCTCTTATGCAGTAAGTGAGTTATTCTGGAGCACTTAGGCCTTTTCAAGTCTCAGTTGTCATCACTCTCGCTACCATCCGCTTTATCATCCTCCTCCTCATCGTCATTGCTGTTACCATCGTCACCACTACGGCACTCCAGACACCACGCTGGTGGCTTCACCTGCCCTGTGTCATTTCCTCTTCACAGCTCAGGCCTTGGATGTTGCCACCCTCAACTGGTGGACGATGAAGTAAGGCTCAGCAGTTTAGTGTAGAAATGAATGTCGGTCCTGGCATCAGATGACTTGGTTTGGAACCCTGTTTCTGCCCATTTGTAACTGCGTGAGTTTTTAAAATTTATTTTGTTATAGGGTGCATGCACTCCCCAGAGAGATAACATGAGACAGTACCCCCATTGGGGGATGGCCATGCTGCAGTCCTCTTTCCTCTGTTCCCTTGGGATTTGGCACGCGCGCACACACACACACACACACACACACACACACACATATGCACCAATGTGTTTTTCAAGCTTCTGAGTATGGGATTCCAACTGTGCAATTGGCCATATGGGATCCAGCCATCTTAACCATCATGCCACTGGCTGGCCTGCCCTGCTGTGTGAGTTTTAATTTCTCTGCTCCCAAGGTTCTTAATCTAAAAAGGGATGTCGTAAGGCTTGAAAAAGTCTTTGAAAAAGTTTTAGAATTTTGCTTGGTTCAGAGTGCCTAATTCCAGCAATTATTCCTATTATTTCTGATCACAAAGCCAGTAATATTAACCACTGGGTTACCATTAGGAGTAAAAAGTTCTGTATATGAGCAAGGGACATTTGTCTGTCTGTTTTACATTCTATAAGAAAGATTTTTTTTTAGCTGAAGTTAGGTAGCTAGTAAATAGCATGCCAGAGCATCACTACACTGAATGGGCAGAGGATTTCCCTATTCTCTTGTAGACGAGAAGGCAGACTGGGGTGTTGGAAAGAGCAGGTCTTGAATAAATTCCAACACTTGCTAGTTCCATGACCTGAGGAGCATTACAAAATTTTCCAAAACTCAGTTTTTCCATCTGTAAAATGGGGATAGTAATACCCATTTCCATGACCAGAGGAGCTTCTCTGGTGAGAGTATACTACTGGAAGTCTTGCTGCATGGCCACTGTGGTCTGACAGTCCTGAGTTTGAGCTGTGGGTCCACCAGTGCCAGCCACACGTCATTTTCTCAAGGCCTTGGCTCCAGCAAGGGACAGTGCTGGGATTCCACCGAGGCAGCTAGCTCCAGAGCCTACACTTTCTACCATGCCATTGCCCTACCTCTTCTGTCACTGCCACCATTTTGCTAGTTTTAAGAAGAATAAAATCACGTGTTTTGTCAAGGCTTTTGTAAATTTGTTTCATATCTCATTGACTGCTCTAACTTTATCATTCCCTTCCATCTATATTCTGTGGGTTTCTCTGTTCTTCTCTTTGCTTATACCCAGCTCATTAGTGTTCAGTCTTCTTTTCTAATATGAGCATTTAAAGCATAAAATGTCCTATAAAGAATTTCTTTTGTTTATTCCCTCAGGTTTTTCTATGTCATATTTTCATTTAGCTTGTTTTCTATTTTCAGAATTATGTTTCCTTTGACAGCAAGACTTTTAAAATATCCGCTATTTCTCCTATGATAGTTGAAAAGTACATCTTTACATTTCCCAATATGTAGGCATTTAAGTTATTTTTCACTTAATTGATTTCTTATTTTTTTTGCATTGTCATCTGTGTTATAGTGATTCTTTCATTATTACCAACTAAGTGGTCATTTTTTAAAGTGACGTCTGACATTTGAAAAAGGCATATACTTTCTAAATGTTCAGGGTTCAGGATTCTATATATGCTCATTAGATGAATTTTGTTAATTGTATTGTCCAAATCTATATCTTTCCTAATTTTTTTGTCTGCCTAATCACTGAAAATAAGTTTGGAGAGTCATCTGTTCTTATAGGTCTGCCACTTTTTTGTTTTAAGTATATTTTAGATTATGATCATAAAGTGAATCAAAGATTAGAATCATTATTTCTTTCTGATGAGTTGTTCTTTTAATATTATACAGGAATCCATCAAATAATGACTTTACTTAAAAATGTATCTAATATTAGCATAACTATACCAATGAAATTAAAATTTGTTTCTATGCTTTTATACTATTTTTTTTTTTTGGAGAGGTTTTTGCTGTAGGGCGCATGTGCTCACCAGAAAGACAGACAGAAACAGAGACAGAAAGTGAGAAATCACTCCCCAAGAGGGATGGCCATGCTGCAATTCTTCTTCATTCTCCTCTTGGGATCTTGGTCATGCATGCACAGGCGCCCGGTGTAAGTTTAAGCCACTGGGTCCAGGACACAAACCGCAGTCAACTACATGGGAGTCCAGAGACGTAGCCATTATGCTCACTGTTGGTCCCCATGCTTTTATACTTTTTTTTTTTTTGAGAGGTTTTTGCCCCCAGGGAGGATGGCCATGCTGCAATCCCTTCTCCTCCATTCTCCTCTCGGGATCTTGGGCACGCATGCACATGCACCTGGCATGAGTTTAAGCCACCGGGTCCAGGACTTGAACCACAGTCGACTACATGGGAGTTCAACGACATAGCCATTACACTAACTGCTGGTCCCTCTATGCTTTTATACTTTAGATAGCCTTATATTTTAGATGAATTTCTTATAATTACAAAATTAATAATATGACTATCTTTTTACTATTTTTCAGCTGAAATGTTTAATCCATTTATGTTTTGGATATTTTCAGGTTTACTTCTACATTCATATTTTGTATTATTTACCCTGATTTTTTTAATGCTCAGAAGTCTCTGTTGCTGGTTTTCTTTTTTTAAAATTTAACTTTATTTTACTTATTTATTTATTTTATATTAATTTTGATTAAAGAGGGACAGAGTGAGAGAGAGAGAGAGGGAAAGTGAGAAAGCAAGCCACCAGGTCTGGGACTCAAGCTACAGTTGGCCATGTGGGAGTCCAACGCCCTTAACCACCACTCTACCTGCTGGCTCTGCTGGTTTTCATTGGAATGAACTTTCTTTATTTCCTCTTTCCCCATCTACCAGTTGCCTCTCTTTCTCCTTTACTGCCTCTTCCCTTTTTTCTTTTCTCTTTTCTCTTTTTACATTCTTTTTCTGAACAGTTACCACCTTTCAATTTACTTTCTCTCTCTGATTCCCTTAAATAATTCTCTTAATTCTCCCTCATTCATGGATTCCCTTAAAAATTTAACAGGTGAAGTTAATGTCAATTTCAAATAAATCTAAAGCTCTTCAATATCTTTATCTATTCTTACAAACAATTACTCAAAGTGATAACTTCAGCTATCCTACTGTTTTAAGTATTAGCTGTCATCATTATTATTGTACAGAGTCAATTTATTCAGAGTTATAGAGATATTTACCGGTACACTCATTTTCTATTTCTACATATCTCTAATTCCTTACTTCCATCCTTTTTCTTTTTGAAATATATCCTTTTCCAGTTTTTTCATTGATGAATTTTTCAGTGGTTCATGTTTCTTTGCATGTCTCAAAATGTTTGTATTTTTTTTTTTTTATTTTTGAGAGGTTTTCGCTATAGGGCGACTATGTGGGAATCCAGCGACATAGCCATTACGCTAACTGCTGGTTCCCTCGAAATGTTTGTATTTTAACTTTACTCACAAATGATTAATTTGGAATCCTATTTTCTGTTTGCTCTTTGAAGATTTTGGTTCTTTGTGTTCTAGCTTCCATTGATGTTATTGAGAGGTCTGCTACAAGTCTAGTTATTACTCCTTTTAGGTAATCTTCCTTTTCTTTTGTTTGATTGTTAGATCTTCTCTTTGTCTTAGGTGTTTCAGTGCAATGCATTTTGGTATTAATTCAGTTTTTTAAGAGAGGTTTTTGCCATAAGGCTCATGTGTTTACTGGAGAGAAAGAGACAGAGACAGTGAGAGGGAAAGTGAGAAATCATCCCCTGGGATGATGGCCACACCACAATCTCTTCTCTTCCATTCTCCTCCCAGGATCTTGGGCATGCATGCACACATGCCTGGTGTGATTTTTAAGCCATTAGGTCTGGGACTTAAACTGCCATTGGCCATGTGGGTGTCTGGCGATGTAACCACTACATCATTTGCTGGTCCTGCTATAAATTCAGTTTTATTTATTATATTTAGAATTCACTTGATTTCCTAAAGCCAAGGATTCCTACATCTTTGAATAGTGTCTCCTTTATTTTCTTTATTTATTCCTGGAATTCTCATTAGGTGTATGTTGGGTTTCCTTATTTTTTCTTATATACTGATCTTATTGATATTTCTCTTCTTGTTATTTTTTTGTTTTACATTTCCTCAGCTTCATCATCATGTTCACTAATTTTTTTTTCTTGATTACTTTTTCATTATTTTCCTTTTTTTTTCTTCCTTTCTATTATTCTAAGGTTTTTTGTTTGTTTCTTTGTTCGTTTTTAATATGTTTTGAGAGGAGAGAAAAAGATAGACCAACAGGTACATTTCACACTTGACAGGGTTTTGTTATGCCACCATCCCCTTTCCTTAGCACTC